TTTTTTTTTTTTTTTTTTTTAATAATTAAATATCCTAAAAATAACGTTATCTTATTATATTAATGATACGAAATTTTTCTCTTCCTTGTTACAAAATATACCAGACGTGAACTTCATAGTTCGCACTGATCCTATTGATCATCTCCAATTCAACATCAGACGCAAACTTACCAAATCTTTTACAAAGAAAATTGTTGACCACATAGTAAAAATAATTCTGTATTATACAGGCAGATTGTATTCAGTCTCTCTAAGTATAAAAATCGTTTTATGAGTTAATTCGGATAACGATTAATTCTAAAAAGTCACCACTTGATGATGCGACTGATCTATGGAGTTCACACTGGCGTAGGAAGTGGTTGGGAACTGATTGCTGTCATTTTGGAGTAAAGGAGAGTCAGGCCCTTGACTCCTAAATTCGTTTCTAGCCCTGCTGGCACATCCTTGGGCTCTTCTATGCCCTCGGCGCGACATCACGCCTGCAAATAATGACACAAAATAACTACAACTCGAGCTTTTACTTTGACATTTGTGTACGTTTTAGCCGACTAAAAGCATATTAAATAAATAAATTACAACAAATTATAATACAAATAATGACGCTTAAGAAAAGAAAAAGAACAAAAACTATAAATGATATATTTGAAAAATATAGGAGGACATGAAGTCTATTCACCAGTGGCAATACATCTTTTCCATATCCCTCTTTTATGCTTTCAAATGATGTTGCAGAATAATTTAATTGATGTTGCAATGAAACAACCAACTACTTCCGCTAATTATATTTACGTAATTAGATTACCAATAATACAAAATATATAAGTACTTGATTTTACGTTACACGCAATGGCAATCTTACCACAAGAGCACTCATGAAACGCATGAAATAGAAAAGAGAGGTTTTGCAACTAATTTATAATTATTGAAACAACGAAAAGGAAATGGCTTTAACAAAGCAGTATATTGTTATAAAAATAGAAACAGATATAGATATCCCATCCCACACTCATCGACACACAGAGATTGTTTTGTAGTAAGCAAATTTCAGGAAAAAGCTTATATAGTATTTGCAGTTTCAAGTATCTGTTGTGCAAGTGCAGGAAATTCCATTCGACGTGTCAAAAATATTTACATATTGCTTGTTCTCAGAGACTAATTTTGGACTAATGCCGGGTGTTGCTTCAAGCTGTGTCCAGTGTAGACAAGTCGAACAAAGATAGAAATATTGTAACGATACAAAAAGAAGTGTAAATGTATCCTGCGTACCTATCTCTCATATTCGAGCACTCTGAAGGTGGGTGTGCTTGTGGTGGGTGTGGGAGGAGAATTGAGTTTGCTTACGCGATGATTCAAGGAAGTCTCCTGTACGTTGTCCAGATTTCCCTGCATTGCTCTCTTGTGATTTGCCAACTTTTCTCTGTTCATTGGTGTGCCTAGAACCACCAGAAGCCATGACGAAGCTCTCTTAAGCTGTTACTGTACTTTTATTTTTAGTCTTTTCCCGAATAGAAATTACTAGAAGGTCGTCGATACTTGAAGACAAATTTCTATGTTAGTATACCAACAGAAATAAATATAAATATTAACATTACAAGCAAAAAAAGATATGAGCGAACGTGTTTTATCTGCAAAACACAACCTTCTTGCATGTCGATTGTATGTATCTTCTAATCTAGGGATATGAAAATTAAACTTATCTTTTACTACGTTATTTAAGTAACACTGGTGTTTTGTTTTTTTTTTTTTTTCTTTAGATCAATATATAGGTGAAGTCCTTAAGCAACGTAATATGATTTGGATGAAAATTAGATATGACAATATGCTATTAGAACCATAACTAGAGTCATCAATCTTACCAATGTAACTTAATAATACTGGCAGGAATATTAGACCATGTGCAGCTCCAAACAGCACGATACCCAGGTACATTCTGAAGTAGAATACCTGAAGATTTTTTCAATATAAATTTTTTTTGTATATGATAATTTCAATGATGTATCATAACATATGGGATTCATTTCAACAATGGAGAGAAGATAATAAAAAAATAAAAAAAAGTTTATATGAACATGCGAGTCTTATTTGACATTATTTCAAAGTGAGTATATGTTACGATACATCCCGAATATTACATATATAATACATTTAATATATATTAATTTAATATATACTAAAACATACCTTAAAAATTTGACTTTTAGCAAAACCGAGTACTACAATTCCACCAAATTTCGTAAGAGTGATACCACTGAAAATCGAACTTCCCATATTCGTTAATGCATCAGCAACCCTTTCGACCCTTGTTGTTTTCACTGATACTGAGAAAGAATGTACCAAATGACTACAAAATTCAACGGCAATTCCAACAGCCTACGGAAAAGGATACATTGTTAATCTTTTCGAATAAAATTCTACACTAGAATACTTAAGATCGATATGCTCACCATGACGAGGTTAACGAGGGACACTGCATTTAACGTTATATGCCACCAATACATTAAACCACCAATATTAACAACAATCATAGTGATGGTTGTTACAACGATAACAGAGGAAAATATGTCCAAGCCCATCAAGAGAAAAGTTACCACAAAAATAGCGATTAAGGATATTCCTATACTATATAACGTGTCAGGCCACATTGTTAAGTACTGTTCATAGAAAACATAAAATATGCTGTATGGAAATACTTCAACATTTTGATTGCTACCGATACTTTTTAAATAATCGTTAATCGTGTCCGTTATATTTGCCGATATAACTCTTGCAGCTCTCATTGATTCGTAATAATCAGCAGATGTTTTCAATATAGTATGGTAAGCCATAAAATAAGACGCTCCAACTTTCGACAGTCCTGTTTCAGGGTCAGTAACATAATTAACACCGTGACCATAAGCAGCGTGACCTCCTTTAGCACACATTTCATCGGGATTATCTTGTAAGAAAAACGATACATATTGTTCAAAATCTGTTGGTATAGGTCGACCGATATTATTTGTGGTAATATTACATGAAGAACAATAAGAGCTTGATCCTGAAAATGTAGAATATATATTTTCATTTTCTTCTAAATAATATATCGCAAAATAGTATAAAAAATTTAATTTTGATCTTATACCTGTATGCGGACAAAAAGTGTTATTTGAAATAAAATATTTACAACACATTGGTAGCTGAGACCAATCGATATAATCATCTATCCATGATGATGCAGGTTTTGCTATATATGTCCTAAATAAACATTTATTTGAATAAATCTATTGTATAACTTGATACAATGAAAAATATACTTTTTATTATGTATGATTTACCTGTTTGATTGTTTTGATGCTATGAATATCTGAGTAGACACTGAATCACTATTACAATATTGACCGCCGCACACAAGATTCTGCGCATCCTTATTGGAATAATTCAAACCGTCTTTTACAACAAAATACATTGGTGGTCCAATAGATAAATAACTATTTAAAAACTGCAAAAGAAAAAAAGAGAAACATATTATGACCATTTCTTATTTACGTGTATTTGTACCGTTCATTGACGTATAATATTACTCACTTTGAAATACTTCAAAACGAAACTATCTTCGGGCATAGAAAGTTCCTGATCTAGACCGATTTCAATATGTGGAACGACCGCAATACTCGAACAAATCCAACCAAAAAATACTAACATAACGAATGCACGCACCCACTTTTTCAACAGTAGTGGAACGTACACGATTTTGAAAAGTTTGTATAAAATTCCATTCACTACTTCCTCTCCGTTGTCTTTTTTCGAACCACGAATAAAACAACATACATCGAGTTTATTGTTCTAAAAAATGCATAAAACATCAATATCTTTGAACTTCTATTGAACACGCATATTCGATTTTAGTAATACGTACTGCTTGACGAAGAGTATCTAGTGCTAGTAAGCTAACAAAACATGTTACTTGTAACACAAAGTCCACCAATAATGCCATACCGGCATACAGTGCAAAAGCTCTAACAGCAGGCATGTCAGATAATCCGCCTGAAAGATTAAAATGCTTTCAACATACTTTGCTTAACGCTTTTTACATATTTCATGTGTGAATCTTTTTAATATTTACCAAGGAAGAAACAACAACTTTCGGACACACTGGTGAGCAACATACTTGGTCCCACTTGACCAAGAATACGGCCGATATGTTCAGGTATTGATTCATTGGGATGACGAGTTTCTCTTTGATGTGTTTGGACAAGAATGAAAATATTGTCTACTCCAACAGCAAGGACAAGGAACGGTATGACTTCAATAATAATGAGCGTAGCCGGAATGCCAATGAAACCAAATAAACCAACAGAACAAAGAACAGAAGCCAATACCAGGAGTACACCACCAAGGCCAAGAGTAATTTTAGAATCGATCTAATCATGAAAAAAAGTAAATATTAGATATACACATATATATATGTCTATATGACAAATAAAATATTTGACAAATAAAATATTTTCTGTTTTATCATTTTTACCAGAAGTCGACTGCAGTTTTTTATCTGACCAAGAGAAATCGCAATATATGCGAACATGATAATATATGATACAAGAATAGTTAAAACATCTGATTGAGATTCACGATTCAATTCGTCCTCTATTGATCGCTCCGAAGTGAAGGCAATGTCCATAAATGCTGGCTTCTTCGTCGCTATCCAATCTTTCATAAACTTGACATAACTAAAATCACAGTATTATCTCGTTAAATAACGAAGAACAAACGTTTAATTGTTGTTTTAAATATTGATGTACGATTTAACCACCTCATTTCCCATTCCATTGCCGGATGTAACTTAGATTTATTATGGTAATTATTTACTAGTATAGTTAAAATCACTGCTGTGGCTTTTTCATACGAAGGTTTCTGGAGGTCTTGGCCTGGTGATAAAAATCCACCAACTGCAATTGCTGGTTCTACAGGGCCACCATAAGGTGCCAGACATTCAGGATTATACGCATTTCTGAAGATATAATGAAAAAAATTGTTAACAAAATTATACAACATTTGTGTAATATTGCACAACCAAATTAACTTACTGCGAACAAACTCTGAAATGATCTAAATAATTCACTGTAAAATTATCGTCATCTATGGTAGTGTAATCAAAAGTTTCTACATTATCTTGCCAGTATCCCCATATACTTTGAATTACGCATTGTGACGCTGTTACGGGACCAGTAAAAGGACTGGTCAATGGTGCAAAACATACGTTTGCTAAGGTATAGTTATTCTGTGTTGTTATCTTTTTTATTTCTTCTTGTAACTTGTAGACAGTTTTGAGAAAAGTATCATTAAATACGGGGCCGAACGTAACTACACCGTTGGATGTATTATGCATAATCTAAAAAGAAATTGATATAACAGTATACCTTTTATATATCGTCAAAGAGATAATTTGATTTTATCCGTGAAAAAACTTACATTTGGCAAACCAACTGATGTTATAATTATTTGTTCGGTTCTGTAGAATGGTTCGAAATGTTCATCGAAATATTCTTTTTCGATTCTTGATCGGGATTGCGGGGCAGCCCATAATTCAACCGGATCAGTGGTAACATGTATATATTTGATTCCATGCCCCAAACCAATAATAAACAAGAAACCAAGGAAAAGGACAAACCATGGTCGTGACGCACATGCTGAAGAGAGAAATTGAAAAATTCTGCCCATCATAGAAATATAATATTTTTATAATATGACTCCTAATGAAATGATCTTATACCTGTACCCCACCAGCAAAAGAATTCTGCTAACAGTTTGTCTGTGCCTGCACCCAATCTTTCGATGAAGGTTGATTGCTCTTCGTCATCGAATCCGCTCGGCAAATCATCTGCAGATATCACACCTATAAAAGTTTTTGTGTTACGAAAAAGAGCATATTGTAATGTATATGTCCAAAAAGTGCTGCAGTACATGAAATAAATTGTAGACGATGTGCTGTAAACAGATACATTAAGCAAACTATACATTCAATTGTACAGAATAAAAAAAAGTTGCCACAAGAATATTAATATAATATATAGACTTTATGCTAAAGCAATTTGCTTTGATTATAAATAAAAATAAAAAAAGACAAGCAAATAATGATTGAATTTAATAATTCAAAGTTTCTAAATTGTCAAATGTATCGCATAACAACCACAGTACTTTGAATACTTCTACAGAATGTAAAATATTAAAAATACTAACATATTAAAAGATATGAAATTAAATATAGAAATATAATTAACTTTTAAATTATTTCATAAATTCACAAAATAAATATTAATCAAAAGTATGAAAGATGATAATAAATACTATATATACTTTGATTCGAAATATTATACAATGTTTACAATAATAATATTCATAGATATTCATAACATTCAATAAACTAATTTAAGACATGTCTTCAGAAGATACTGCATACATTTTGAGGCACATTAGTGTGTAGAAATTTAAAAATACTTTGATAATGACAATACATGAGTGAGAAATGAAGGAGAAGTCTTTTGAACAGGAAAGCGATGAAGCGCAGATGATAAAAGTAATAACCAAGCATAATGACATAATAACGAAAGTAAACATAATAATAAAACAGAATTTAGGGATCAAGCAAGTCCACATATTGTAGATACTCTTGATAAGAACGTACTGGAACGTTTAGATTGAAGTGGGCTGTCTTCCTGGTCTGCGGCGAGAGCAATACGAGCACCATCTCCTGGGTGATGTAACCCTGCGGCTAGGCGTCTACCCACCTGCCTTCCTACTTCCTCACCTCGTGCAACTATACATATACGCACACCATACATACAACTGATGATTCCAAATCGAATCTTTTCAATTTCAATTAAATGTCAATAAAGGAACAGTTGGTATTTTTGCATTTATAGTTTATTGTAATGTTGTTTGCTAATGAAAAGAATTACTATCAAATGTTTCGGTTTTAATATTTTTTTTTTTTAATTACTATGTATAATTTCTTTACGATGATTACCAAATTATTAACCGAAAGAAAAAAGTAACAAACATAGTGAGCATAGTGAGGAATTTCTAAATTAATCCTTAAACCACAACCAAAGAATAAGATAATACAGAAGAAACACAACAATAAAAAATAATCCTGTAACCAAGGAAAAAGGTCAATGATATGGGTCAGATAATTTGATCTATGTCATTTTGGTCTTGTCATTTTTAGAACAACGTAAATGACAATTACATACAAAATTAGTCACTAATGCAAGGTAAAAAGAATATTATACTATTGCTAAATAAAATATGTTCAAGGAACAAAAATACATTTCACACGGTATTTTGTATAATATCCACCCAAATATACAAAGAATTATGTATTTTTCTAAGTAAATATTCTTTAATAATAAGTGAAATTCCTTACCAATTTGTTTTCTATTATTGAAGCACACTGTGGATAAGATGAAGAGAACTGAACCACACACAAAAGTAATGATCATCACTACAGCATAGCCATCACAGCCAAAAATGGTGAATGGTCTTGGTAAAGGAGGAGCTGGTGGAGGTACTGGACAACTGGCTTCACAGTCTACGCAACTGCATGCTGGTGTATTTTTCTAAACATAGAAAACATATTAAACACATTACAATTCAAACAAAAAATCAAATTATAAATTCCTAAAAAAGTAACTTATACTAACTGTACAATTCAATTAATATGTATCAGTCAGAGCTATACTAATTTAATTAACAGACATATGTCTATGGCATATGTACATATATATATCATACATGACATATATGTGTATAGACATATGCACAGTATACGATGCACAATTATAGTATGTGAAAACCAGTTAAGCTAAATTTGTTTATGATTAATTAACAGTATTAAGTTAAAAGAATTAGAACAAATACTTACATTTAATGCTTTATTACAGGGAGTAACTACAGGATCCACAGGAATAAATGGATCTAAAGGTTCATCGGTATTTATATATGTAATTTGAAATGGTACATATGGATTATTTGCATCACCCATATAATGAAACCATTTTAATGTAGTACATCTACTAGCTCCCCATATTCCACACATTAAATCCATTGCTAATTGCCCAGTACTGGGTACTGATACTTTGTTACATGAGTTAAAGGTACCTTCCAAGTACCTATTTGTTATGTAAACATCTATTGCATTAATGTACTCCACATCTGAAAAGAAATACGTATCATTATTAATATTTATTAAACATCACAGTCGCTTACTATTTATATAAGAACATTGTCAAATATCTCAAATTACCTTTTACTTTCTCTATTTCAGTAACATTGATAAACTTGCTTTGTTCCTTACTACAAGTAAATTCACAGAAATGCTTTACTAAATTATCTAAACAACTAGGGCATCTGTTTAAAAAATTAGCTGCCAATTTGATATTTTTATCCATTGTTTTTAATTGATTTGTATCGCAGCAAGTATTAATCCCATTTCCAGAGTCAACCATTAAATGAGGACAATTTTTGGCCAATAATTCTTGGCCTTCATTATCCAGTAACTTAGGTGGTCCCGTATAAGGACAATTCTTTTTATGCATAAATGCATCTGTATAACACTCTCCATACCAAATACAATGACCATCTTGTGCTGCAGATACCTATTGGCAAATATTAAATAACTTTTTTCTAGCAAAATATACAATTAAAGATTAAATAGTTAAAAATTTACAAAAATTTACATAATTTACATAATTAAAGATTTAAAAAAAAAGCATTATTTAAATATCGTTTCATGATGATTCTAACATATTTCAATATGCTCATCATACTTCTAATGATTTCATCATTCAATGATTAAAAAAAAGACATTAATAAGAAACTCAACAATTTGAAATTAGATACTAACAAATAATAAATCATTGCTTTTCAAACGTAACATTACACATAAAGGCTTTAACTTTTCTTTCTCATTCATTCTTGATAAAAGATAAAACTGATATTAAGTACAGTCATTGTTACAAATTAAATTAATCAACCTAATCACTACTAAAAAGATAAAGAACAATTTTTATTTTTCTCTCTTTCTTCAAATTTTTATTTACTTATTACATTTTTTAGTCTAAAAATGATAATGAAATAATTACCCTGTATTAACTTCTGAACATTTTTCAAGAAATAATTCTTTTATACAAAAAAATTAACAATTAATAATTATAAGGTTTTAAATATTATTATTTATTTATTATATCCCTTAATCTAAAAAATGGCAATAAAAATGGCAATTTGAATTAT